GAGGATGGAGCATGGCTGTAGCTTACATAAGTGCTTCAGGGTCTATATTTCAAGACGGAGAAGTTCCACTTGTAGCACAGCAGTTGTTACATAAAGACTTATATACAGAGCACTGGCTTTTGCTGAACTTCTCCTTCTTGATTTCATTTTGTAAAGAATTTAGACAGCCATAAATCAAAGGTGCATCAGTGGGGATACCCAAAGCAGTCTTATTTGGGTGAACCTCTGCACTGCCCAGGTTTGTAGAATGATCTGGGTTCAATACAATTCATATGAGTTAAGCGGCAGAGAAAAAAAATCTACCTCTCTGTACTCATGCTGAATGATCATCCATTCTGTCAGTGATAGATGACCTTTCTATCTTTAGAATCGCACCACCTGGCACTTGTGCTGCAGTCATACTGTGCTGTTTCCAATCTTAGCTCCTGACACTGTTCAATAATGCATCTCCCCATGCGCTCCCTCCTCTCCATAAATGTCGGGGAGTTATAGCAGCAGAAATAATAGCAGGAGGGGGTGGGGGGTTTGCTACTGTACTTGAAACATGAAGGAAGCTTGGAATGGCCAATTTCGTCTCCTTGTTGCAGTTGGCAGCTGAAACAAAAGATCGAGCGCCTCCATCAACCACACATGGGCGTTTCTATTGTTTTGATTTTTTTTTGTATTCCTCCCCCGGCAGGCATAGTTTGGTTTTCTATTTTAACTCATTTTCCTGCGAACATCTCAACTCAAGTGTCTAATGGAGATCCCTAAACCGATGGGCGTTTATGCGTCATTGCAGTATTCTGGGGGATCCCTTTTAAACATCTTACTTCTTCTCGTTCAGAAAGCGGTGGGTGATGTAGCGTTACAGTTATGAGTCAGAGTGTGGATATTCAGGGTTCCCCAAAATATAAAATCTCCTCACTTGAGAGCAGAGGGGTAATGTAGCTTTCGTGATTCATACATCTCACAAGGAAATCTCATTTGCCCACCAAAATAGCATCCAATCTTGACAGTAATGTGTTATTTATTCAACTCACCCACAAAGACCAAAAAAATATAATTAAGGGGCTGTTTCTAAAAATAGCCACAGCTTCTGCATAAAGCGCATAGGGCTCTTTCTGGAGTAGTGAAATCCCCTCCCCTGTGTTACTAGGCAGAAGAGAGAATTTGTGCAGGAAGACTGTATTGTCTTAAGGATACCAAGTATCGTTGCTAAGCAACAAGGCGATCAGGTCAATAATAGTGTGGCTGGTGGCATCCACTAGGGCATTGGAAGCGATATTCCTGTTCCATGTGTTTAAAATGTAATATCCTCGGAGCTGTGGGAATACTTTGTCTTTGTTTATCGAAGAGTCATGAGGCAAAGAAAAGCAGCACGTTGGGCTGTTTCCCCCCAATGAGGTTTTAAGATATTGGCATTCACACAAATATACATAAAAAAATTAAGTAAGGCTTAATAAATACATATGTGTGCATGTATATGTTTATAAAGATGGGATCCTCATATTCTGATGGAACAAAATGCTGTAATCATTGTAGACACCCTTCTGCTTTTTGTTCCATTTCTAATCACACGTCTCAGAGGAGACCTCACCAAGGGAGCCAAGCTATTGAATAATTCCTCATGCGACTCCACGTGCTGTGTCTGGTCACATGTTAATTAACAAAGACTTGTTGCTTGGATGTACTCATTATCCTATGCAGCGTTGAGTAAAAACACAGAGAGCATCTGAAAAAATAAAAATCACACACCAGATTTTTCCGCTATCTTTTTTTTCTGCCAGTTTTGTGTCCCTTAATTAAAAGGCATGTCAAGAAAATGAGTTTGCGCTTAATGCTCATTACACAGTGCAACAGAGACCTGCATAGTTTGTGCATGGATGGTGAAAACAGATCTCTCACAGATGTGGTTTTCTATTGTATTAACAGACTTTTAGAATACAACAATTTAATTGGCTGCTATGTGCCCGTCTATCCAGCGATAAACATACAAAACCTCATTCAGCTCGTTCTATGTGACTTAACTTTGATCTGTTACAGAACAAGAACTATAAAGAGTCCAAATATTGGTTTGGTCAAAAGGATAAAGAGAGCCCTGCTGTGCTCTACCCTCTCTGTCCTTTCCACCTGTAGAGGTGCACTGTGATGTGTGCCGCACGCTGTCTGAAGCTGAGCCCTTTGTATAAATAATAAATGTCAGCAGCAGCAAAAGATATTGAACTTTGAAGACCTTTTGGGCTCTTTGATGGTGATGGGTCAGCATGTGGGAGCCTAAATTCAGTCATTTGAGCACCACCACTGAGAGATTGTATTATATCACAAAGTAAATTATGTTTCTTATAACAATATTTCCTCATTTAAAAAACAAAAACAAAATAGGAAAAACTGAATTCAACTGGTGCAACAAAGAGGGTGAGAGATGACTGTGGCAGTAGTCCAGCGCACATCAGGAGGAGGCTGGGGATGCCTTTAGCGAGAGCCCGCTATGCCCCGCCTTCATTAATTCGGCATGCAGTAACCAGGGAGACTGGGGGGAGTCGCGCACCAGCAGCTCATCACGACCCAGTTGAAAAGCGCGTGTAGCGAGTAGTAGAGAGGACAGCCTTCACTGCTGCGGCGTTGTGCAGCAGATACTACCGCATCTGAGATGCAGCACACAGCACCCGAGAAATAATTAGCAGACTTCTCAAAATAATAATAACAACAACAAAAAAGGAGAATTAGCTTCGCTGATTGTTCCAGATGTGGGGAGCGCCTCCGCTGAAGTCTCACAGCCGCGGTTTGGATGCGAGATGGAAACATAGGGGATTCCTCTCGAGAACGCGCACAGCGAAGAAGCTGCAGCCCGTTTAAAGAGGACCGGACAGGTTATCTGAAGATACGATGGTTCAAAACGTGGTTTTGGTGTTTCTCCGCAGGAGGCTGAGCCAGAGACCGAATGTGGAGGAGCTGGAGAGTCGGAACATTTTGAAACGTGAGTTCAAACACCGCAAAACTACTCCCGAATATTTCACTCACAGCGAAGTATCTCACAGAGAGGCATGCCATATTTAATACATCAAGCGCGTGCACTAATCAGCGCAGTAAACAACGCATGAGTACACTTTTTTCTTCATTTTTTAAAAATTTAATTATGAATTTTTAAAAGGAGCTGTTTTTACTTTCTTAGAGAGAAACGACCAGACAGAACAAGAGGAGAGGAGGGAGATCAAACAGCGGCTAAACAGAAAGGTGAGACTCCGTTTCTATTAAATACACTGTTCTGATGCTCTGGTTACTTCAATGTAAACAACAGACGGTGACAAATGTTTGGCACCTTCTTGTCTCTTCCAGCTCAACCAGCGGCCCACGGTAGATGAACTGCGGGACAGAAAGATCCTCATCCGCTTCAGTGACTATGTGGAGGTAGCTAAAGCTCAGGACTACGACAGGAGAGCAGACAAGCCCTGGACTCGTCTGTCGGCAGCAGACAAGGTATGTATTGGATAGTGCAGTCACATCACGTTGATCTCTATGTCTTATTGCCACCACTCACTCAGGACTTATCGCCAAAATCAATTTCACTATGTAAGTCAGTGGGATTAAACAAATACCCAACATCTTTTCCCAAATTCCCCATTGACCTATTACTCAGGCTATCCAGCACTGCAAGTTGCTGTTATCAGCTTATCTCACAAAATCCCCTGTCCTCTTTAAACTTTTTAGCCTGATTTTATACACAAATATATATATATTTCTTTCTTCCTGTTGTTGCTTTGCTGCTTGATGCACTGATGCATTTTTTTCCTCTTCCCAACAGGCTGCAATCCGGAAAGAGCTGAACGAGTTTAAGAGCACCGAGATGGAAGTGCATGCCTCAAGCAAACATCTAACGAGGTCAGCATTTGGAAACGCCTGCCTGTGTTTGGAAGAACATGCATGCATGGGTTGATGCTCTATTCTAAGCTGCAGCAGTCTAAATTTAGCTCTCCTTGAGCATACAGAGGTGCATGCAGGAGCTAAAGATAGATGGGAGTGCTATAATGGGGAGGGGGAGGTTGTCCTCCAGAGAGTTCTCACTACCAGGTAGCAAAGCATGATGAAAGGCCACCGTGTCCTCGGCTTAATCATGTTTGAAAAGCACGAGACCTCGTGAGTTGTAACAGTGACCTAGAGGGAGGGTAGGAGTGTACGTGCCTGGCTTCTCAGCACTGTAAATGGCTGTGCTAAAAATAGAGCCACAGAACTGATTAATGGCTGCAATAACAGAAGGGCATCTGGTAACAAAGGCACCCTCTTGCTCTCACCATTTATTTCTATTCCCTTTCTTTCTATATGTCTCTCCAGGTTCCACCGACCGTGAAAGTGTGGAGTTTCTTCTGTGAAGAAATGCTGAGCTTTGACATTTCCTGAAGCTGCTAGAAGCTGCTCAGTGGCGACAGTTCAAAGAGCCCGGAGCCTTTCTGTCTTCGGCGCGCCTTTTTTTAAGAATCTTCCGCCACCCTTGACCATCATATTATCAGTATGAAGTCACGGGTATGGGAGAGATGATGATGGTAATGTTAGCACTGGCGTGTCCTGGAGACTGCTGAGTGCCAAACGTGGAAACTGGCAGGTGGAAGAGACTTTGGTGGAGCCTCTGACTCTCAGGACAAGAGCAGAGTATTAAAAAAACAAAAACCAAACAATCTTGTCATTCAGTCATTGTTTTTTTTTCTTTTTTTTGTACTAATTCATGGACTCCTGACAAGATTGTGTGAATCTGTGTAGTGGGAAGAAGTTGTGCATGTGACCAGCTTCACCTTTTCTTAACTGATGAATAATGTGTCAAGACTGTGTAAAGACTGTGCAGCGTGGGGGAGATGGCATTGGGGGTTGAATTTGATATTAACTGTACATACAGTATGTCAATCAGAATGGGACCGTCGACGTCTTCACTGAAAAGAGAAATACCTTTGTAAGCACTTACTTGTCTTCAAAATACAAGGCCTTTTTTTAAAACTGTGCTGCCTCATTTATTTTTAAAACAACTTTATTTTCATTTAACAATATGGTAGAGGAGTTATTAAAAAACAATCAATACAATTAAGATCTTGAAAGTTTACTTGACCATTTCTAGTACTTAACAAGCTTCAATGAATAAATCAAGAATTAGGGTTAAAAATAGAGTCAAGTCAATGAATAGCATGGGAGAGCTTACAATAACACCAAAACTTATTCAATTTATAAAAGCCATAAAATAACACCAGAACACAACATTTCCAATCAAATCCCAAACACTGGAACAAAGCACCATTAGAATAAACCAAAGACATCTGCATGGAATCAAAGCAGAATCCAGAAAAACAAACACTGCATGAAAATACTTTGACTGAGCACAGCAGAACTGCCTAGGACAGCACGAAACACACAACCTGCTTTATTGCGTTCCGGGACAGTGTTGAACTCAAACCCGGCTCCCTCATCAGGGGAAGAACAAAGCATGCAGTCCTTTCTTGACTCTCTGGAGCTCTCCCTCCAGCTATAAAGGACACAAAGAAACATTGGAGAAAGACGCTTAATTTGAGATCTTACACAACATCATCTGAGTCATACTTTTCTTTCAATGGTACGTGTTTATGCACAAGCTTTCACAGAACCATTGTTCTTTTGACAGAGTGATGGACACAACATTAAAGACACACAATGCAAGCCCAGTTCTTCTCTGTTTCCTGAAGTTTCACCTGTTCATACTCACCATCTCACTGAGGAATTTGTCCTGAACTGACTTCATGTCTTTTCTGATCGTGCACATCTGAAAACAGCACAAACAGCAGCAGGGTTTTTGGGAGTGGTAATAAAGAATATGACACAGTCAGGACACACAGGGGGAGAATAAAAGAGATAGCAAAATGTCACAAAGGCCACTCAGCAAAAGTCATATTTGATAGACAGCTTGACAGGCAGATGACCTCTTCTAAATTAAAACACATAAACACTCATTATTCAAAGCTGAATTTTGAGTTACAGCTACAGACTGCACTCAAGCAACACAATGAAGCAAATATTAGATATACTGTGAAGTCTATGCATGAGGATCACACCTCAGATGTGAATATTCTCTCCTCATACTCCAAGCTGTTGCACGTGTTACTCTGAAGCGCTCTCTTCAGGAGCTCATTTCTGGAAATAAGGAGACAGACAACCATGGAGCTGTATATCTGATTTCTTTTACACATTTTTTAATATTTTCGTGGCTATCGTGTCACTCAGGATGGAACTACCAAGATAACAAAGAACAAACGACAAATTAGTGACACAAGTATGGACTGCAGAGTATTGTGGCTAAAGGACCCATTTAATACAATCCCTTCTCAGATTCGAGGAGTTAGCAGCATAATAAACTGCATATGGAATTTTTTTAAAACAGAGGGCATAAATGGCAATTAATAAAATATATGTTTATCAAAGGAACAATACTGATATTGGTTTCTCATATACTCACTGAGTGACGAAGTCAGACATATCTGAAACGACTGTATAGATTATGTGTGTTAATTACCATATGGGGGAAGTTGATAAATGGGGGTGCTTTATTTTTATTTTCAGCTACTAGCAGTGTAACTATGGAGGGAATGCTTACGATAACCCCAGCTAAATGATAGTAGGAAGAATAGGATGTATAGGACGTGTATTTAGTTGATGATTTCAAGCTTAATGAAAAAAGCTTTTTTCAAATCAAAAGTTTTAATCTTTCTTCCAACAGAAAAATTAGATAATTCTGTGTATTCTTCTTTAAACCTGAAAGGACACCATTGATCAGAGTGTGGAAAACAGAATTATAAGACTCTTTTAGTACTCAAACACACACAAACACACGCTTTAATTTCACCTTGTGATTTCCTGCTTCTGGTAAGAATGGAAAGCCGTCATCTGTTTTTTCCAGTACATCTGTATAAGGAAAAACCATTGGCACTGGTCAAATCTACAACAGATCATCCTGGCGGCAGGTATTATTCAACAGAACATTGTATGGCTGGATATTTTGTTTTTAATATCGCTTTCTGCATTTTCTCTATGTGGCAGACAGAGTCAGAATAACCTACGGTGAGGTCATTATCCATGTTTTTCAGCACAGTGTCATCCTGCTCCAATTTGTGTATCTCTTCCAGGAGGACCTTCTGAATCTGTTTAAGCCTCTGAGTCCTGTAGAGAGGACAGACAATTAACCAGAAAAGTAGAAATCTACAAGGAAATACAAACAAAGGTTACAGTGCCCTATCACACTCATGAAAGACCACTGTAGGGTTGTAGCCAATAAAACATAAAAAGGATTTATTAACACAGCAAACTGACTTCTAACTAGATTTCACATTTGCTAAGGACCCCTGTGTGAAGAAGCCCAGATACACATTTTTTTTTGAATAGATTATTCTGCCAAATCTTTCTTTTTCATATTCTCCAGTTATGAACACACAAGAGAAAATAATTTAGGTTAAAATAAAATGATCACTATAGATTCTCACTTGCCTTTCAGGACTTCTCTGTTAGTGTGCTATCGGCCATCTAATTAATTAAAGGTTGGCGATAACAAATGTTGCATATTCACCGAAAAGATCAGACTTATAGTTCATTTACACACTGACAAACTAACTGACCTGCATTTGGTAATTTGCATATTAATGGAAGAGACGTGTTGCTGGACGGTCTTCAAAGACTGCTTGTTGTAAAGCTCCATCATGCTGTAACGTTTCTGAACATGAACATATATGGTTATGTAGCAGTTTTGTAAGTAATCATTCAACAGCAGTACACACTGCTGTCTCAAATACATGTTTATCACATACTAGATTTCTCACAACATTAAGTGTTCCTTTAAATTGTGAACACAGCACAGATGCAATGTAGTGTGCAGCACTATTCTCTAACTATGTTGTATGTCTGGACACATTTCCAACCTGGAACTTCTTCTTGAGCTCCGAGCTCAACTGCTGACACATGTTTCTTGGGTTTACAGCAATTTCTGGCAAATCTAAACCTTCATCAATGTCCACGTCTCCATCTGTTACTTCACCCTCCCAATGACCAGAGGAAGACTTCACCTGGCTCAACTCATCCACAGCAGGCACCTCAACTGTAGGTAACAAACAGGAACATTAACATATTAGAAAGGACAACATTAGAGTCAAATTCTGATTCAAGAATGTTTCATAGTTTTTTTTTTACCAGATCTTTTAAAGATGCCACTGATATCTTAAATATCCTCACTACATCCTAAATCATATAGTTATAAAAAAACAAAGATGTTTTGACTGTGCTGCAAGGAATATTTTGACTTCCTGTGTATCTGTTTTACATCACATATAATTTAACACCGTCAATTTAACAAAATAGTTCCAAAAATACATTCAGATAGATCACCTTAGATTAGATTTGGATGTAGTAAAATCCTGATCTAAAAAAAAAAAACACATGAAGAAACTTCCTGTGCCAAAGTTGAAACACATATTAGCTTGTCTGATTAAGGCATGTGTAGTTAAGGTTTTCCTGTGCTTATCTATGTAAGAGACTCTGAATATGTCTTACACGACTTGAATAATTTCCGTGGCTTCAAATGAGGAGAGTGATTCCCTCTCATCTTGCTTCTCATACTCTCTTCTGTCTCCTCGTCCTCTGAATCACTAGACAAGGAAATGTGGCGCTTGCGGCTGGGCCCTGTTTCAAAAATCAGATGTGACAATTAGATAGGATGGCATTTTATAATGAAGCGCAACTTTAATTTGGTGCAGAGTGGACCTAACAGTGGAATTAAACTGTAGCAACCAGGAAATTTATAGCAACCCCCCCCCAAAAAACAAGTTAAACGTTTATTTTACCTGAAACATGAGACTGTGCGAGTTTTGAGTCTTGGTCTGACAGTGGCGTCATCTATCAGGAGGACAGTAATGAGTTAGTTAGTTTGAGTGATTTAGTGTTCTTAAAGTTTTTTTTGTTCTTCAGCTGTAAAGTTACATTAATCAAAAAAAGAAACCAAAAATCAGTAAAGAGCCAATACCTCTGCTTTAACAGATAGAGCCAGGGCAACAGTGGGACCGTCCTTAACTTTGCTGGTGAGTACTGATGAGTTAATAGATGATAAGCTTAGTGAAATCTGGGATACTGAAGACACATTACTCAAACTACAGCAGTGGCCATGGCTAATTGTGTCATTTGGAAATGGTGACTGAGCAGGAGAAGGCAAGGGTGGTTTGTCCAGCTCAAGGAGTGTGGATGTCAGCAGGGGTCGAGTGGACAAAGGAGAATGAGGTGCTGAAGAAAGATGCTGTTCGATTGTACTAATCTGGAAACAAATAGAAGATTGAAGGTGGCAGAAAGTGATGAGAAATAATGTCAAAAAAAAAAATATGGTAACTCGTTTTGTGGTTAGCTAATGATCATGTCTGCCATAGATAAGTGACAATAAATGAAAAAGACATTTCACACAATGCATGAAGAAGCACAGATTAAGTGCTGCAAAGCCATTATCTGCTCTGTACGGCATTAAGTAGGTCATTTCAATCATCATGTGCATTTCCCCATAATTAAAAGATCTATTTATTAGGAATTCCTCACATGGCTAACTCATAAGAATGGCTTCGTTTAGCCGTAGCCATCTCATGTTAGAGAAAATAACTGTCTGGAGTAGAATTTAGCAGTTTGCAAATCAAACTTTCCAGTTGCTTATAAAGGACAAGGTTCAAAATAAGGTTTTTAAGGGGAGGGAGTTATATTTTCAGTCATCCCTATCCACATTTTTCTCGGACAGTCTGGGAATTTCAGCTTAAGTCATGCTTAAGTCAGTGGCCTACGTTTTTACTTCAGTGAAATAATAACTCACACTATGATTCAAGTTATGCTACTGATTCTCACAAGACTGTTGACTGACATCAATAACATCTATGCAGAGTTAGTGCATGAATAGCTTAAAGACCTGACAAAGATGCCAAAATGAGTGTATAAACAGCTTTATGGTGAGTCCAGATGAATTTAACAACTCAGACAGCCCACGGCAGATCGCTACAGATGTGCAGTATACTGGACTAACTTTATACAAAGAGGAGCGAAGACAAAATTAAATCAATAAGGCCTCCTCACTCTTTCCCTTCTGGCCTTTTTGCTGAGTTAGGTGTGACTACCCTTTCCATCTTACTTTGTTATTTATTTTCTTTAATAACAGAACACCACCCACACTGGAATACTCCACTATTTGCTGAAGCAATGTTCAGAAATAAAAAAAAAATGCTTTCAACTCAACAAATTAGAAAAAACCCATACTCATATATTTTGCACTGTGCCGTTTTTTAGGGTGAATGTGAAACAGGTATTTTTCTACCCTAAAACACTTTCTTTCTGTTTTAACCCTTGACAGATACCTTACCACAGTGCCATAATATGTCAGAAAGGTGATGTACCTTTGCTGCACTAAGTTCAGTCGGAGGTGCAGGGATTTGTCCTCCAAGTGAAGTGAGAGAAGGGACAGACTGCTTAGAATGAGTCTTGGATGAGCCATGATTCTTTTCTGCAGTGTAGAAAGAACACTTGCACATTTCTTTACTTCTGACTTTAGGTTTGGGTAGCAGCAGGACTGGCGAGGGGGTGTCTTGGCAAGAAGGCTTAGGGGAGGCAGGCAGCGGGGATCCCCGCGGGGTGAGAAGAGGGGAGCAGGTCAAATCCAAGGTTGGGACTGACCTATCAGCAGCTGCGGGGATCCAAAATAAGCACAGATGTTCAAACAGCTGGCTTCAGAAGTTGGACAAAGAGTAGAAGGTCAATATACACAAGTTCCTCTACATAGAGGTTGGAGAGCAAAAGGTTTCTTTATGCAATGCTTTACATAAAGTGTTTAGAGTGAAAAGGTTTCACTGCCATGGAAACACACATTGCCGGCACCAAATTGTTTCACAGGGTTTTATACAAATATCTAACAGCTGATAAAGAACCAGCGTTACAAAAAGGGGGTTTTGTGTGAAGAGTATAATTTTTTACAAATATAAATGTTAAGAAAGATAACGAGACTCATCATTATGACTCGGAGTAATACGTTAAGTTAGCGTTTCTGACGATCTCACCTTTTGAGAGTCAATGTTTCTACATAATAATGAAAATCAAAGATTACCATCCACTCTTCTGCTGAAGAAAAAATATGTGTCACTAAAGGAAAACTTTTTTTTTCAATGTTAAAATGGCTATTAAGTATAACCTGATTTCTGAAAAAATTGCGATGCAGTGAAAAATAAAAACATAATCCAATGATTTGAAAAGTTCATAAACCCATATTTAATTCAGAATAGAAAGAAGTGAAAAATGTATCATTTTAAGACAAAATTCAAGTTCATTTTGAAATGAATTTCAGATGAACCTGTCATCTTTACTTCTGAGAAATGCACTTTTTACCCCCAAATCACGTTACTAACCTGTGCCAATCAATCTAATTAAGTGCATAATCTTTCTCCAGTGGTTTCATTTTAAGCACACTTAGTTTACCAGCCTTTTATTGCTTCCATCAAATCCAAAATGAGCTATTATTTTTCATGAAATAGTAAAATATCTCAGTTTAAACATTTAATATGTTATTTTCTGTGTTCTATTGTGAACAAAATATGGGTTAATATGATTTACAAATCACTGCATTCTGTTTTTATTGACATTTTACAGTGTCTAAGGTTGTCAGGGGGGAATTGGGGTCATGATACATGTCACCACTGTGATGGAATTAACAAACCATTTGATCAAACATTAAACATTAAATAGACATTAGCAGCTGTCCGAGGGATCAAATGGCTCTTATCTAACTCTGACGCTAGAGAGTCGTTTTTTATTGTATCTTACATCTCATCTTTTCCATGAGAGGAGGGGATGGACGGAAAGAGGTCTGGCAAGTAACCCAGGAATCCTTCAATGAACTCATCTGTTCTTGGGCATTTGTCTTTTTCAATTTTGAAGTTTCTTGAGGAACATTTTCAGGCCTCTGCTGGAGAACAAAGTATGTTATTTATGACAACATATTATACTGTGAAATCCATTCAGAAACACAACCTGCAGGTGAAGATTTAAGACCACAGCATATTCTCAGCTAAATACAGCCAAAAAAAAATTAAATTTCTCCTTTTGACGTTAAATAATAAACTACTGAAATATATTCAGATCAAAGACTGTATAAATATGATAAACATAGCTGCCAGGTCTGATAAAAAAAAATATTGGAGTTTTTCTAGTGAGTTTCTGGTCTCAGCTGATAGTTTAACGTCTTTATAAATTGCTTTCCCCTGTTGAGTCAAAGGGGTAAAGCAGGGCATGGTTTAGGGACGTTCTACCTTGTAACTGAGAAGCTGTTAGCCTATGAATGTCATCGTTTCTCATTTAAATTTACCACTTGTTCATGATTGCTTATACATGTGCTGTGTAAATTCTATAAAAATCAAACATGATCTAAGTCTGAATTACCCATCTATAACAAATAAGTGTATAAACACTTAGTATCTGCAAAGATGTAAAGCTGTGAGTTGAAGACAACAAGTAATAAGAACATTTCTGTGCAGAACTGATGTCCTACCTTAAGTACAGAAGGTTTTTTAAAATCTGACTGGTTGTTGTTGCGTTTTCTCCTGTAGGTAGCAGCTGCTCGCTCAGAGGTTTTCTCATGCTTCCTCTGCTGGTCTATAAAATATTTCTGTTGAAATTCAGAAGAAAAATAAATATGATATTGCTCCAGCCATTTCTCACATAACCACTTAGTAAAGATGACATTAAACACAAATGACCTTGGAAGTGGCTGGCTTCTTTGCGCATGGGTTTATATTGTTTTCCATTTGCTGGGTGCTGTCAGTCTTTTTCTTCTTTTTTTGAGTTGCATGAACTTCCACGGTTTTCGCAGAGAATGAGTACTATTTATAAAGAAAAGAAAGGTGCAAAATATACATTATTATTGTTGCACTGGCTTGAAAGTTTGTTTTTTTGTCTTTTCACCAGATGAAATGTGTATTTTTAAAACTCACTATGGTTTAGTGAGTAGTTTATTAACACTGTGACTGAGAAATATATTTTCTACACCTGAGCTTAAAATTGTATACCTTTAGAGTATTGAAAGGACGGCCATGAAAGTCCATGAAAAAAGGCATTTTGATATTCAATATAATGTGTGGAGGAAGGATGAAGTTTGCCTTTTTACACTATATATATTTACAAAATGTTTTAATAAACATGTCTGCTTCATCTTTTGTTTACTCTTGACACTGTTGCCAATAGGATTACTTAAAAAAGCAAAGTGGTACCTGTTAACCGTTTAAAAAAACAAAAAACAAAAAGCAGTAACAATGCTTAAAAAAAAGAAGTCTGTCTCCTGCCTTGGTAGCAGGAGGATCCTCAGGTTCTTCTGGCTGACTGTCATCAGTATCTGGCTCTTTGTAGCTTCTGGTAGAGGCGGCTGCAACTCTCTTGGGCCTCTTAGTAGCTGCATGTTGTCTGCTAGGTGCTGCTGCTAGCTTTACTCTCTCCTTTGGCTGACCAAGGTCCCTTTTCATGCGGCCGTTTTTCTGATACAACAGTGACACACTGTGGTTACTTAAAATAGTGCAGCTTGTAGCACACAATTTACAAAAACATTAATCATTCCTTACCTGAGTTGGTTTGTTATTACCCAATCCAGCTCTTGGAAAGGTTGGGACTAAATCTGGAGATTCAACTGTAATTAAACAAAACCTGTATGCAATTACTGATGTTTTCAAATAATTTTATTGGCATACAGTCGTGATGCAACAATTTTCAGACTTTGAGTCTGAATGTAACTTTAATGGCCTACCAGAAGCATGGTGTGGGACAGGTCTAGGTTTGATGGGCGCCTGCCTGGAGTATTTGATAACCTTGGGCTTGGACTTTGTGGCTGACTCTCTCAGCCAGCTGAGATCTGTTGTGGCATTTTCTGTGTCTGTGTCACTAAACAGGTGCTTTTTTACATGCCCCTTCTTCTGTAACACAGAATACAGCAGAGGACAGACATGAGTACACAAGCATGAAGAAAATGTTTCCACAAACATACAATGAATGCCTACTTTTGCCATAGGCTGCTCTTTCTTGGTTGTGCTGAGGAGTACTGGGGAGTGGATGCCACTGTCAAACAATATGGGAAGTATAGATTTAAGAAAGATTTGTAACAAAATATTAATATTTAAGACAAATAAAAGTCACAGAACATTCTCAATGGGGCCTACTTGCTCTGTATGCCACAGGTGTTTATGTTCTCCTTCTAAAATGAAATAAGTGAAACAAGACTGTTAACTTTAATCCTGAATTTTCTAAGTTCTCATGCTGATACATGTCAAT